TGCCTGGAGTAAAAGAAGCGCCTTTTGTGCAGATCACTGTGTACCAAGCCCTGCTATTGATTATGCGTCTGACCTTCCCCTCGAAAAATATCCTTTTGCTTCAAACTGTCTAGTGCTTAGTCACAGAAGGGGAGTTTTTCTAAAAACGTTAGATGCAAATCAGCCAAGTCATTTTCGAGTGACACAGCTGCATCACCCCACCTCGTTTTTCTGGTTCATTTTTTCTTCTCTTTCCATTGCAGCCTCCCAGCTGGCTCATGCTGCACATCTGCATTCAGTCTCCTTTGGAGGCGTTAGCCCAGAGTGGGCATCCTGCCGAGTTTCCAGGTGTGAAAAAAACACAGGAACTGCAATTTTTCAGTGGTGATTCAGGTTGGTTTTACCCTTTTATCTGGTGCGCATTGTGTTCTGGGGCTTGTCCAGAGAAGGGGAACTTGCACTGATGTCGCTACAGTAATGCAAACCCCTAATGTAGACATACTGTAGCAGTGGCAAATGAGGCTTGGACCAGCATGGAAAGTCCTGTCGTGCACCAGCATTGTCAGAGAATCCTAGAAATGTAGGGCTGGAAGGGAACTCAAGGCATCATCTAGTCCAGCCTCCCATGCCAAGGCAGGATTAAGTAAACCTAGGCCATCCCTGACAGATGTTTATCCAACGTGTTCTTAAAATCCTCCAGTGATGGGGATTCCAGCAACACTGGTGGGTTTGCACTGGTTATATTTACACCAGTGCAACCCCACCCCCACTATAGTCAGGGCATAATTTTCTCCCCCTCTCTTTTTTCTCCGTCTATTTCTGATTTGTCCATTCCTTCCTATCTTTCCTTCTTCCATCTTAAATCCACCTTTCTCTTCCTTCCAGCCTCTCTTTTCATTCTGCTTCTTCCCTTTATTTCAGGGTCGATTTCCTTTCTTCCTCAACCCCTTCTTCCTTGCTCCCTCTCACCCTGCTGCTCTTTCTCTCACTTTCAGCCAACCTGTTGACCCCAAATCCTCTTTCTGCTGCAGATGCATTAATGCGTTTTCTTAAATGGTAAGTCCTAAGGTCTAAGCAGCATGGGGCACTGTAGCTTGCGTTTGCTTCTCGGCATTGCAAGGGCAGGAGCCGCGTGTTTACAGCCAGATGAACGGTATGTGTTTGCATGGGGGTGTGCTCACATCAAGATATGCGTGTGCTAGCTGCACTCTTTCGCACAGTGTGTGTAATTGCATGTGGCATTCATATGGGTGTGCCTGTTAATCATCCTGTATACACTGGCCTGTATGGTGGTAGAGTTAATGCATGGTAGGAGAGCGCAGTGTAAGTACACGGACAGTATTACGTGATCCTCTGAGTTTGTTGCTGCATAGGCCTGTTACACCTGAAGCATGCTACTTGTGTTGCTTGTGTACATTTATACCAGCATATGCTGCGCTGCTGGTGCCCGATTCTTAGCTGGTGTAAATCAGTGGAGTTCCATCGACGTCCACCCCATGCCAATTTACCCCAGCTGGGGATCTGGCTCTTAATATTTTCATCAGTACGCATGACACCAGAAGTTGATCTGTACATATCTGCATGTGCTGTGTGAAAGAGCAATGGTTTTCAATCTGGGGTCTGTAGATTCCAGGGGGGTCTGCAGACTATGTCTAAGATAGCCACAGGGGTCTGCACCTCCATTCGAAATTGTTTAGGGTCTGCAAATGAAAAAAGGTTGAAAACCACTGGGGTAGAGCATTGTGTGCCACTGTGCACATATGTCTGTGCATTGTGGGTTTTTTTTTGTCCTTTTGTTGTTTTTGCACATATGTTTCTCAGTGGTGTTTTGCTCATGTGTTGGTGTGTATATATATATATATATGGGGTGGATTTTGTGTGTGTTGGCGTGATATGCACACATATTGGCTTTTTGTGTGTGTATATGCCTATATGTTGGGGTTTGCACCTGTGTGGAGGTGTGTGTCTATGCTAAACAGCTGTTACCTTGTTTTGGTGTGTCCCTATGCCCGTGTATTTGTGTACTGATGTGTGCCTAAGTGTTTATGTTGAATTGTGCCCATATGCTGGTAGGTTAGCTTGTGGCCATGTGCTGGTGTGTTACATGTGCACATGTATTGACACGTGCCTAGGCTGAATTGTACTGGTGTCTTAGGGCTTGTACACACTAGCGCTTACTCTGGTGGAAAAGCCACCCCTCTGAACGACGTAAGCTACCCCGGCGGGAGACGCTCTCTGGTGTGTGGCATGACATGGCCATTAAGCAATCTCTCAGCAAGGACTGTGGGAAGCATCAGCATCTTTGCACAAAGGATAAGGCTCTGACCCAGTATTACCTGACTGCACATTTTAAGGCAGCGGTAGCAGCTATGACAAACAAATGTGTGGAATGCAGCCTTCAGCTCCACCAAGAAGCTACCACAAATTGCATGGCTGCAGCTGAAACTGCTGTCCAAGATATTATAAAAGTCACGACTGTAAGAATGACAAATCCTTTGAGCACTGACCCTGGAACAAACCCAGACAACCGACGGCAATGTCTACTATGCCCCCATCTGAAACTGCAGAAAGTTTGTGCATGATCGGAGAGAATGGCACACAAGAAATGAAGCCGTTTGTAACCAGTAGGTTACAAAGGGGGGAACTAGACCTCTCTGACCCCATAAAAAGGCATAATCTGAAATCGTTTGGTAATCTCAACAAACTAGTTGAACAAAAGAAGACACATGGCATGGAGCACAAGCAATAACTACTGTCCGCCAGATATCCAGCAAGCTGACAGTTATTGCCCAGACCAGACTTGTTGATATCCAGGGTCTGATGAAGTATGAGCTGGCACCTGTCCCATTTTCCCTCTTCAACTTGGATGGATCTCTAAGAAAGACCCAAAAGAGCAACACACTGTCTTGGCTGGAGAAAAAGGTGTCAGTGGTTGAGCTACAAGCATCCCAGGAGCCAAAAGAGACAGTCAGAGACAAAAAGACACCTTGTAAAAATTGGAAGTCAAATCCTACTGAGGAAAATAGAAAGGAACACAAACTCTGGCAAGTCAAGTGTAAAGTAGAATTAGGCAGGCTGAAAAAGAATTTGAAGAGCAACTAGCAAAAGACACAAACAAATGGCAAAGTTTTTTTAAGTGCATCAGAAGCAACCATCAGTGGGGTCGGTGGACAATCAAGGTGCTAAAGGAGCACTCGAGGAAGAAAAAACAGTTGTAGAGAAACTAAATGAATTCTTTGCATAGATTTTGACTGCCGAGGATGTGAGGGAGACTCCCAAGCCTGAGCCATTCTTTTTAGATCAAATCAGAGGAACTGTCCCAGATTGAAGAGTCAGTAGAAGAGGTTTTGGAACAAAATGATAAATTAAAGTGTAAGAAGTCACCAGGATCAGATGGTATTCACCCAAGCGTTCTGAAGGAATTCAAATATGAAATTGCAAAACTACTAACTGTAGTATGTAACTAACTGTAGTATGTAACCTACTGCTTAAATCAGCCTCTGTACCAGATGACTGGCAGATAGCTAATGTAATGCTGATTTTGAAAAGAAGGCTACAGCGTTGATCCTGGCAATGAAGGCCCGTAAGCCTAACGTCAGTACCAGGCAAACTGGTTGAAACTATAGTAAAGAACAGAATTATCAAACACATAGATGAATGGGCAACAAAATGGCAGATGAAATTCAATGTTGATAAATGCAAAGTAATGCACATGAGAAAACATAATCTCAACTATCCATACAAAATGATGGGGTGTAAATTACCTGTTGCCACACAAGAACGAGATCTTGAAGTCCTCGTGGATAGTTTTCCTGGAAACATCTGCTCCATGTGCAGCAGCACTCAAAAAAGCGAAATAAGGAAGTATTATTTACCCCTTCACATTACACAAGAACCAGGGGTCACCCAATGAAATTAAGACAGCAAGTTTAAAACAAACAAAAGGAAGTATTTCTTCACTCAATAAACAATCAACCTGTGGAATTCCTTGCCAGGGGAAGTTGTGATGGCCAAAAGTTGTCGGCGATAGGTCGAGGATGATCTCTTTCACAGGTTTTATTTTTCATGGGTCCTTTGGTGACTGAGGAGTCCGATCCTTGAGACATAGGCTCGTTGGCAGACGTTTCAGGTGGTGTTGGGAGACAGGGTTGGACCATGATTTCTGTGTGACAGTTGTCCGTCCTTTCTTTTCTGGCGTTTTTCTGTGACCAGGGCAAGGTGATTTTCCTCAAAGGTGGACGTTCCCTCTCTGAGAAGTCTTCGCCAGTTATCCCTGTCCTGGGCTGCTGTCTCCCAGTGTGCGGTGTCGATGCCACATCTCTTGATGTTTATCTTGAGGGTGTTTTTAAAGCATTTCTTTGGCCTCCCCGTTTCCTTTCTCCTTTGGTGACTTGGGCGTACAGCGGTTGTTTTGGTAGGTGTGCATCAGGCATGTGCACACAGTGCCTGCTCCAGCTCAGCTGGTGCTGGATAATCAGGCCCTCAACACTGAAGATATTGGCCTCCTTGAGGACACTGACATTAGTGTGACGATCCTCCCACTTTATGTTGAGGATCTTCCAAAGAAAGTGCTAGTGCTGGCATTCCTGGTTTTATAGGTCACCCAGGTCTCACATCCATAGAGAAGAATTGGGATTACCACCGCCTGATAAACTAAACTAAAAGTCTAGCATGTGTTCTGATGTTATGATCGTTGAACGCCCGGCAAGACAGGCTGCCAAAGGCAAGGCTGGCACAGCAGATTCTGTGCTGAACCTTGATGTCTATGTCTGCCCTCTGTGAGAGACGACTGCCAAGATAGGCAAAGTATTCTACATTTTTCAGTTCTTCTCGGTCAATGTAGATCTTCCTTGCTGGGTCTGATGATTGACCAGGAGCTGGCTAGTGGAGATCTTTAGTTTTGCCGATGTTCAGAGTTAGCCCAAGGCTTTGGTAAGCTTCAGAGAAGCAGCTAACAGCTGTTTGTAGAGCCACCTTTGAGTGTGCAACTACTGCACTAACATCTGTGTACTGGAGTTTGGTTATTGTTGCCGATATTACTTTAGTTCTGGCATGGAGACGAGAAAGGTTGAAGAGGTTGCTGTCAGTCTGAAATTGGATGCCAATGCCCTATGGTAGACGCTCTTGGGTTAGCGTTTTCATAGCTGCTAAGAAAATGGAGAAAAGGGTGAGTGGCAGTACACATCCTTGTTTTACGTCCGTTCGGATGACAAAGGGCTCAGAGTTAGAGCCACTGCACAGGATGGAAGCAGTCATCTGGAGGAGTCTTACAATGGTGGTAAATTTGCTTGGGCAGCCAAACTTTGACATGATTTTCCACAGAGCCTCATGGTTGACAGAGCTGAAGGCTTTGGACAGATCGATAAAGGCCATATTCAGCTCCTGGTGTTGTTCTTGACATTTTCCCTAGATCTGCCTGGCTGCAAAAATCATGTCGGTGGTGCCTCGTGATGGTCTGAAGCCACACTGGGACTCTGGAAGTGCTTCTGCTGCAAGAGGGAGCAAGCAATTCAATAAGATTCTAGCAAGAATCTCCCCAGCGATGGAGAGGAGGGCAATGCCTCGATAGTTGCCACAGTCAGCCCTATCTCCCTTTTTGAAAATGGGGACGATGTTAGCATTACGTAAGTCAGCAGGGATTTCTTCGGTGCACCAGATTTTTAGGAGCAGCAAATGAAGCTTGTTAGTCAGTGCTTCTCTCCCCACTTTGAGTACTTCAGCTGGTGGGCCATCAGGACCTGAGGCTTTATTGTTTTTCACGTTTAATTGCTTTGCGGATCTCCTCAGGTGTTGGTGGGTTGGCAAGAGTTTCGCAGATTGGGTGCTGAGGGATGGAGTTGATGATGTCGTCAGTCACAGATGATTCTCGATTTAGAAGCTTTTGGTAGTGTTCCTTCCAGCGCTCTTTGATGGATTCGTTACCTTTAAGAAGGGCACTACCATCTTTGGATCTCAGCAGTGTGAGGCCACATGACCTTGCTCTGTACAGGGTCTTTTTCTCCTCACAAAAAAAGCTCTGCATATCATGTCTGTCAGCGAACGTTTGGATTTGTTTTGCTTTGTCCTCCCACCATTTGTTTTTGATTTCTCGTATTCTCCTTTGAACCTCAGCTTTGAGCTGATGGGAAGAGCTCTGCTTCTGACAGGATGATGGATGGTTTTGCCAGTCGCAGAAAGCTTTTCTCCTCTGGTCCAAAAGGGCTGTGATCTCAATGTTGTTGTCGTTAAACCAGTCCTCATGGCAGCGAGTAGCAAGGCAAACAGCGAGTAGCAAATGCCCTGCTCAGTCGGGACCGCTGCTGCTGAAAATGCCCCCCATCCCAGTCCAGGGGCAAATGATGACCCTCTTGTGGTCACCACCTGTGTGTGGGTCTGTGACTAGGGACTCCTTGTGATCACTTCACCTGTCCCCATCACCACTTGCCCATCGCCGCAGGACTTTTGTGGGTGGAGTTGGGGAGAACGTTCTTCTTGGGAAAGAAGCCTGCGCATGAGTAGTTTAATGTGGCTGTGCACCAGCAGCCACACAAATCTTGGTGGAAGAGGCAGCTGTAGTCTGGTGGGAAGGAGTTCCGAGACAACCAGGGGTTTCTCCTCCATTTCAGCTTTCACCTGTCTTCGCAGCCATGGAGAGGTGATCCTGCTTCATCCGCCTGCTCAGCTGTTGAGGTCTTATACATAACCCAGTAGAAGGCGAGAAGTATAACTGGGTTCAAAAAAGAATTAGATAAGTTCATGGAGGATAGGTCCAACAATGGCTATTAGCCAGGATGGTCAAGGACGCAGCCTCATGACTGCCAGAAGTTGGAACTGGACAACAGGGGATGGATCGATCATTTGATAATTCCCTTGTTCTGTTCATTCTCTCTGAAACATCTGGATTGGCCACTGTCAGAAGACCAGACGCTGTGCTAGATGGATCCTAGGTCTGACCCAGTATGGCCGTTCTTATGTTCAACATTAGCTATTATTGACCTCATGATGCTTCTGGAGGTGGTCCCCACTGGTACTGCCAAGTGAAAAATGTTTGGGGAACTGTCCGGTCAGCTGCTGAACATTGTTGTTAGACTAAAACGTGGCTCTTGGTGACAATTATGCAAATGAAGAATCATTCAAATCTGGTGAGAGAGCCCATAGGCACAATGTCCAAATGCAAGGAGTTTGGAACCCCACTGTGTTAACACCATTTTACCAAAGCAACACGTGAAGATTATATCAATTTCAAAGGCTAATTTTAACATTGCAAACTTTCTCCTCGAGGTCTGGATCGTGAAGTGTGAGCAGACAGTGTCACCGGGTTGTGAAGTGCACCTTGGTGGGTTTCACCCCAGCGAATGAGCAGTGCGAGTAGTGCCTGGCCACCATTCTGCAATACTGGAACTCGAGGCAGTTCATGAGGAAGCAGATTCACCCATGATCTTGCAAGTTGATCTTGTACAGTGCTTTGAGGTCTGAAAATGAAAGATGCTATTTACAAATAATTCATAGTCAACCTTAATTCTCCCCCAAGGGAGACTTAGCCTGGGGATTCACCCCAGAGCAAATACCCAGAGTAAACAGGGTGCTTGGACTCAGATATGGCATCTGTGTGGCTAAGATATTGCTCTATTCGTGGGGTACATGAATTCCATTTCAAAACTGGTGTTGGCCCAAAGAAGAGATTCGTGCCCATGCGCAGAGTGGCTATGGAGCTGGGAATGGACGTGTGTCTTAGGCTGCCAAACAGTCACGCTCTCAGTGTGTGCGACTCTACTTCAGCTTTCAGTGACATTGGAAAAAAGAGATGGCTGAAGATAGCAGCTGAGCACCCAGAGACGTGGGTGGAGAAGGAATTGAGAGCTCTTCTTCCCATGTCTGCCCACCCCTAGCAGCGGGAGTGTGGGGGAAGGGGTGTGCCAGAATGCCTCTCACATATTCATTTGGGCACCCCAACTCCCAGGCTCAGGGGCTATGGCATGCACTGAGTCTGTCTGTTCTCAATTCCCCACTCTGGTTTTGGGTGTGAGGCAGGGGTCTGCATGGAGGGTGTCTGTTCTGCACTCCCTGCCCTGATCTGAGTGCTTCTGGCATTCACAAAGCATGTCCCTTCTCAGCTGTCTGGGTCTCAGGGAGGTGGCTGTGATATGAACTGAACATACCCACTTCGAGAAATCTGAGTTCCTATGTCCATGGTGGGCCCATTCTCAGCACCCTTACAGTCACAGTGCTGTTTGCCTGTAATATGGGCGAAGTCTACCTGGTCTCAGCTCCCCTCTGTCTCCGCCTTGTGGCCCAGACCCACAAAGGGAATTGCAGGTTGCAATACACAGCATTGCCACCCCTAACTTTTAGAGGTCTAGAAAATCATTGGAACAGTGAGACCCCTCAAAGCCTGCATGAGGTGGTTAGTGTCCCTCTAGAATTAATGGGATGGATTTGAATAGGGCTCTGTTATCTCCCAAGTGAGTGCTCTAATCCCTGAGGTAAGGGGTATTCTGATGTGGGCTGATCTTCATCTCTTGTTGAAATTGGGCCAAAGCAAGGTATGCCTCTGAGAAGCCCTCTAGCACAAGGGATGGGGGTTTTCCCTGGGATGTTGATGACCCTGGTTCAAGTCTTCCCTCTGCCTAGGGTGGGATAGGCCTTTGAGGTGGGAGTGCCCACAGCCTTTCCTGTTGCAGCTGCTTCCACTTTAATTAACTGTTAATTAGGTGCTGCTCAAACCCCTTCCCAATCCCAGGGGGCTGAGCCAGCACCCACAGCACATACCCTAACCACCAGGCTACACAAGGGCTGCTGCACTTGAACCTTGCTTTGGCCCAAGTAGTAGTTAATTCAAGTGGCACAGCGGCAAAATAAAGGGTTTCAAACAGTAGGATCTGAGGCCTAGAACCAGCCTCTCTAGGACCATAGGTAGGGTTACCATACGTCCGGTTTTTCCCGGACATGTCCGGCTTTTTGGCAATCAAACCCCCGGCCGGGGGGAATTGCCAAAAAGCCGAACATGTCCGGGAAAAATACCGGCCGGGCACTTCCTCTCCCGCGGCTGCTCTGCTCCTCCCTGACTCAGACTTCGGCTCTGTTTAAGAGCCAAGTTGCCCGAGCCAGTGCTACTGGCTTTTGGCAGCCCCCCCCGGCCCCCCCCCCCCGGCCCCCCCC